TTTTCTGTCTCTCTCTCTGGTCAAATTGAAATAATAAATAAAATTAAAATAATTCTTTAAAAAATGTGCAGATTGCACTCTTACTGCTGTCTTATATTAATTTGCATTTTTAAAGTTTATTTACTTCTTCCATGAGAGAGAATGAGACAGAAGAAAGAGAGAGAGATACCCCAGGTCTTCATATTGCAAAGCCATCCCCAACTTCAGCCAGCCGGATCACAGACATGTGTCTTTCACCTCACCTGCTCAAGGAGATCGTGGGCCGTGAACCCAAGATCTTTCTCATGTGGGTACAGTTGTATTAATAATACTGCACTACCTCTTGGCCCTGCATTTTTACCTTTTCACTTAGAAAACGTTACTCTATGCCCAGAGGTTTTCATGTAGAAAAAGATCTGAGGTTTGAATTCTCTGCATTGGGTGGAAATTTGTATTTGTGTATACTTAGACTGACAGGGAAAGGCTCCAGAGTGTTCATCAGACGCTCTGCGAAGTCCCTGACCCAGATAAGGGTAGGAACCGCTTCTGCAGTCCCAGTGTCTACTGCTTCTCCCACCTGCCCCACACTGGAGGAGCTAGAGCTTGGGCAATCATGATGGGGAGGGCTGGGTCAGAATCAAGTGGGAGATTCTGGACTGGAGCACATTTCAATAGTCAAAGACTCTAGAAATTTAGAAACTTCTAGGTTTACTCAAAATGTAAAGGGGTGTGGAAGGTGATTTCACAGTATTTTTAAAAGCAGTGATAAAAATTATTGTTTAACATTTATATTATGAGTTGTATATTAGTAAGCATTTATACTAAAGTGATACTGTAACAAAAAAGGGAGTGAAATCTCAAAAGTCTCAGTTTTACTGATGGGAACAGAAAACCAGGTGACTTCTCCCTAAGACGCCGACTTGACCAGAAAAGGGGAGTATTTTCTTTTGCATGGGGTTTCCTTCTACCCCTAGGGGCTGTCGCAGAAAATTCTGAGCCAGAGGCACTTGAGATGCTTCCAGGGATCGAGCTGGCGCCTAGTTTGACTGGAAGAACCTCACTGCACTGGACCAACATTAGTTGGTCATTTATGCCTAGCCTGCTTCTAAGGAAGATTCTGGCAATAGTTTGCATTAAAGGGTGCATTAAAATGGATATAGAAGGGGCCAGAAGACGGCATGGCTGTTAAGAGTGCTGGATTCCCACATGGCCAACCACGGTTTGAGTACTGGACCTAGCAGCTTGCCTTCTCACTTTCCCTCTCTTTCTCTCTCACTCTGTCCCTCTCTGGTCAAATTAAAATAAATAAATAAATAAAGTTAAATAAAGTAATTCTTCAAAAAAAAATGAGTCAATACAAAGGATAAGAGAGGGTAAAGAACATCTGGAGAATACTAACAAAATCAAGGTATCAGTGGGTCAGCAAGGAGATTCAGCATCTCTTCCCTTGATGTGGTCTCTCCTTCCAAACACTCTGTATTCTCTTCCCTTTCATCAGCAGACTGAAAAAGGCCCACTTTTCTTCATCTCTCACTTTCCATTAATTTTCTACCCCACTTTAATCTGGCTTCTGCTCCCACTTACTGCTCTGAAATTTCTTCTGATTGCTAGACCACATTCAAAAGCTTCAGCCCTCATCTCTCTGGAGTTTTTGTACAATGAAGTAGTATTATTAGTATTCTATAATGAGGAAATTTTATTCTTATAAAGGAGCTCCGTGTACACGGTTTGAGTACTGGACCTAGCAGCTTGCCTTCTCACTTTCCCTCTCTTTCTCTCTCACTCTGTCCCTCTCTGGTCAAATTAAAATAAATAAATAAATAAAGTTAAATAAAGTAATTCTTCAAAAAAAAATGAGTCAATACAAAGGATAAGAGAGGGTAAAGAACATCTGGAGAATACTAACAAAATCAAGGTATCAGTGGGTCAGCAAGGAGATTCAGCATCTCTTCCCTTGATGTGGTCTCTCCTTCCAAACACTCTGTATTCTCTTCCCTTTCATCAGCAGACTGAAAAAGGCCCACTTTTCTTCATCTCTCACTTTCCATTAATTTTCTACCCCACTTTAATCTGGCTTCTGCTCCCACTTACTGCTCTGAAATTTCTTCTGATTGCTAGACCACATTCAAAAGCTTCAGCCCTCATCTCTCTGGAGTTTTTGTACAATGAAGTAGTATTATTAGTATTCTATAATGAGGAAATTTTATTCTTATAAAGGAGCTCCGTGTAGCAACCTGTGATCACTAAGAAAATCATTACCGTCTAATGAATGCTTGACTTCGTGTTAGACATTATCCTAAGCCTCTTACCCATATCAATTCTTAATTTATACAGCACAATGAACAGGTAAATTGTCACTATTTACAGATGAGGATATAAGATTCAAGGAAGTTATGTACTTTGTCTAAGATCTAATCGATTATGTATCAGAGCTTGAATTTAGACAAAAGTCAATCTGACCCTGAAAGAGTACATGCCTAGTCATTGCACATACTGTTTTCCAAATGAGTTGAGGAAACTTCTATAGAGGTAGTGATAGAACTTATAGCTTTTGTTAAAATAACTAGTACTTTAAAAAAAATTGCATCTAAAATTACTCTGGACTGCCAGTAGTTTGTACTTTACTGCCATCTGGCATTTTTTTGGCAAAGTCCAGCAACCAGACAGCTACAAAACATCATGAGACAAGGACTCTAATAGAAATGCAAAAGTGGAAGCTGGCAGGTGGCATGTGGTTAAAAGCACTGGACTCCCACATGGCCAACTGTAGTTCAAGTCCCGGACCTGGTGGCTTCCTTTCTCACTTTCCCTGTCTCTCTCTCGTCAAATTGGAAAATAATAATAAGTAAAGTTCAAATATAATAATTCTTTCTAAAAAATGCAAAAGAGTAAGGACACCGACATTGATACACACTATTGTCCCATGCATAACAAAAATCTACAGAGGGAATTTAGGCAGCTGTGTTTGCTTATAAATGTAGTAGAAAATACTAACTCTTAATCTTCTCATTTTGGATAACCAAATTCAGGACAAAACATCCAGTAAAATGGCACACTGATATTTGGAACTTCGATTTTTAGCCATATTATTATTTCTAATATGTGGGACTAGCAGATGACATTAATGGTTCTGTCACTGAACTCCCACTTAGTCAACTGTGGTTCGAACCTTGGACCTGGCAGCTTAAAACTCACACCAGACATGTGTTCATACATGCCCAAAGTACTGAGAGGAGAATGGAAGAAAAGGGATTGTGGTGTGTCAATCCCCTCTCTGGGGGGTGTTTTCTCACTTTTTGTCTCTTTCTCTCTCTCTTTCTCTTCGGTAAGTACAAGCATATGCGCCCTATAGCAAAAATCTCTCTACCCCCCCCCCCCCAACAAAAAAAAAAAAAAAAACAAATGTGGGAGCACACATGCCCTATAGCAAAACCCCCCCCCCCCCCAAAAAAAAAAGAAAGAAGAAACAAGTGTCATGTATAGCAATAGAAAACAAAATAATTTATTTTAAGGAGAGCATCACACAACTTGATGGTTGGAATTAGTGTCACTTTCAGAAGGTTAAAGCTTTCAGAGTCTAAAATACTAGGAGCTGAGAAATAGGCATCCTAGAAATCCCTGTTGTGTGCTGGTTAATTACATAATCCTTGATTCAGGCAGAACTAAGTTCTTTTCTTCGTAGTTGTGTGACTTAGGGCTAATTATTTGACATTTTAAAGTTTCAGTTTTCTCCATCTGTAAAATGGGGGTAATAACACTTCTTAGGACTGTGAGGATTGATGCTGAAATATTAAAGTGGTAAAATAAATGGTAAGTATTGATCATTATTATATTATTACAAGTGTGAAGGAATACAATTTTTTGTTTTATTTATTTTGAAACAAGGAGTACAAGCTATATACGTACATACCTTTTTCAAAGAAACACTCCTGTCTGCAGGGAGTTAATACAACTTTCACATGTTCACATTAATTCCAGAGACTTTATAATCATAAAATCCATTTATAGCCCTTAGTTGCCAAGCAACAAAGGACAAAGTACTGAGTATTTCCTTTTATTGCAAAAGGTTCGGCTTTCTCATGTCGTCTTGAAATCAACATTTTTTAAAGAAATGACAGAACAGTGAAACATACCACATTTTAAAGGTTTAGTTAACATTTCTTGTTTGGGAATAGAATCAAAACTGAAAGGAATTCATTGTTATTATTGTTCTTTTCTAGCATATTGTACTAAATTTTACAGTAAATCTGTAAGTTCTTGAAGTTGAGTGACTGCAAACTCATTTTAAGGCAAGAACTGTTTTTCATTTTACCTGTGTTCTGTGATGCTCTCATTGTAAAAGAACCAGTTCTTTTATCAGTTAACTGTCTTGCATGGAAGGTTAGGTGGAATAAAATTCATCCAGAAAAATATTATTTGCTGACCTTGATAATAATTGACTTCAAAGAGGTCATTCAACCATGCATTACAGGGTTTGGAGAAGCTGGCTTTTAGGCTCATAACTAAATTCTCTACTTCTTTAAAAGGGATTGAACTTTTTAATTACTCTGTTTCTCGCCCCCCTCCCCCATGGATAATTAGTAAGTAAAGTTTTGAGGGACCAGCAGTTGGTGTAATGGCTATGTTGCTAGACTCCTATGTAGTCGACCGTGGTTCGCATCCTGGACCTGGTGGTTTTAACTCATGCTGGGCACGTGTGCCAGCGTGCCCAAGATCCTGAGAGGAGACTGGAGGAGAAGGGGTTGCGGCATGGCCCACCCCCCCCCCCATTTCGCCCTCTTCCCCGGCCCGGGGGAGGCAATTTCTCACTTTCTGTCTCTCTGTCACTCTCTATCTTTCTGGCAAGCGCATGCGCCCTAGAGCAAAAACCCCGCCTCCCCCCCAAAAAAGTTTTGGAAGCCCTCAAAGAATTAAAAGGATACATTACTATTAGTGTCCTACAAGAAGCCCTAGTACTTTGGGTAAATAAATATCCAAGAGTAGTGTGTGGTACCTTGTTGGAAACTGGTAGCTCTTGCAGCATGGCTGACCAACGGACTGAAGAGCAGATTGCAGAATTCAAAGCTTTTTCACTCTTTTTTTTTGGAGAGGTTTTTGTTATAGGGCGCATGCGCTCGCCAGAAAGACAGAGAGAGACAAAGAGACAGCGATAAAGCACCCCTCAGGGGGAATGGCCACACCACAATCCCGTCTTCTCCGTTCTCCTCTCAGGATCTTGGGCACGCATGCACACGTGCCCGATGTGAGTTTAAGCCATCAGGTCTGGGACTTGAATCGCTGTTGACTACATGGGAGTCCAGTGACATAGCCATTATGCCAACTGCTGGTCCCCACCCTAAACCTACTTTTAAAGAAAAAATTACTTACTTTATTTTACTTATTATTATCATGGGAATCCAGCAACATAGCCATTACACTAATTTCTGGTTCCAAAGCTTTTTCACTCTTTGACAAAAATAGTGATGGAACTATAACAACAAAGGAATTGGGAACTGTAATGAGGTCTCTTGGGCAGAATCCCACAGAAGCAGAATTACAGGACATGATTAATGAAGTAGATCCTGATGGTAATGGCACAATTGACTTCCCTGAATTTCTGACAATGATGGCAAGAAAAATGAAAGACACAGACAGTAAGGAAGTTAGAGAAGCATTCTGTGTGTTGGATAAGGATAGCAATGGCTGTATTAGTGCAGCAGAACTTTGCCATGTGATGACAAGCCTTGGAGAGAAGTTAACAGATGGAGAACTTGATGAAATGATCAGAGAAGCAGATAATGATGGTGATGGTCTAGTAAACTATAAAAGTTTATACAAATGATGATACCTACAGGGGGCATTATAATAATTTGTTAAATTTTTGGTACAAAATCATTTCTTTGCCTTTTCTTTGTTTGTAACTTATCTGTAAAAAGTTTCTCCTTCCTGTCAAAAAGATACGCATGTATAGTAATTAGGACTCATTCCTCCATGTTTTCTCCCTTATTTTATTGTCATTGTCCTGAGACCTTATTTTTGAAAACTGATCAAGTAACATGTTGCATGTGGCTTACTCTGGTTGTATCTAAGCCCTTCTGCATGTCTAAACTTAGATGTAGTTGGTCAAATGAGGGAACATCTTGGTTATACCTTTTCTTAAGTAGTTTTCTTTAGGAACTGTCAGCATGTTGTTGTCCAAGTGTGGAGTTGTAACTCTGTGTAGACTATGGACAGTCAACAATATGTACTTAAAAGTTGCACTATTGCAAAATGGGTGTATTATCCAGGTACTTGTACACTATTTTTTTGTACTGCTGGCCCTGTACCAGAAACATTTTCTTTTATTGTTACTTGCTTTTTTAAACTTTGTTTAGCCACTTAAAGAATATCTGCTTATGATACAACTTGCCTCAAATTCATTCCAAATTGTATATTTATTTTCCAATAAAAATTACAATTAAAATAAAAGAGTAGAATTACTGGGTCATGTGGAAGTTCTAATTTTAGATTTTTTTTAGGAACCTCATACTGTTTGATACATTGGCTATACTAATGTACATTTTTCACTATCCCTGTGCAAGGGTTCCCTTTTCTCCATGACCTCACCAGCACTTGTTATTCTTTGTTTCTTTGATCATAGTCGTTCTGATTAAGGAAAGACAATACTGCATTGTGATTTGATTTGCATTTCTCTTTTGATAAGAAATGTTCAATATTTTCATGTGGATTTTAGCCATTTGCATCTCTTCCTTTGAAAGTTGTCTGTTTAGATCAATTGCTCATTTTGAAATGGATTATTAGATATTTTGGTGAGTGAGCTGTTTGAGTTTCTTATATATTCTGGTTATCAATACCTTAACTGAAGTATAGTTTACAAATATTTTTCCCAATGCAATGGGTTGTTTCTTGACTCTATTTATTGTTTCCTTTGTTGCATAGAAGTGCATTCATTCATTCATTCATTCATTGCCATATGGTACATGCATTTCCTAGAGAGAGACAGAGAGAGAGAGAGGGAGAGAGAGAGGGAGGGAGAAAGCACCTCCCAGTTGGATGGGGTCACACCAGAATCCCTTCCCCTCTATTTCTCTATCCTGATGAGATTTTAGGCATGCACACACATGTAACCAATGTATTTTTCAAGTCATTGGGGCTGGGATTTGAACTGTGGTTAGCCAAGTGGGATCTGGCTCGCTTAAACACTAGGCTATGGGCAGGCGATTTTTTATCTTGATATAGTCCCATTTGTCTATTTTTGGTATTGCTGCTTGTCTTTTAAAGATCTAATTTAGGAAATATTTACTTACACCAATATCTTGGTAATTTTCTTATATTTTCCTTAAATAGTTTCAGAGTTTACATTAAAATTTTTAATCCATTTTGAATTCCTTTTTGTAAATCATGAGAGATGGGAGTCTAGTTTCATTTGTCTGTGAGTGGATATCCAGTTTTCTCAGCACCATTTATTGTAAATACTGTCTTTTTCTCCACTGAATTGTTTTGTGACTTTTGTCAAAAATCAGTTCTGTATGTGTTGAGATTATTTCTGGATTCTCTCTCCTGTTTTGTTGGTGTATGTGCCTGTTTTTATACTAGTACCATGCTATTTGGGTTATTATGGCTTCACAATATATTTTGAAATCAGGTAGTGAGATGCTTCCAACTTTGTCCTTTTTCCATAGTATTGCTTTGGTGATATAGGGTTCTTTGTGATTTTAAACAAATTTTAGAATTTTTTTGTTACCTCTGTGAAGAAAGTTGCTGGTATTTTGATTGGAATTACATTGAATTTGTAGATCACTTTGGGTTCACAAACTTTTCAAAGTAGCCTCATATTTATTTACTGAGAAAAAGAGAGAGAGAGAGAGAGAGAGAGGAGAGAGAGAGATTGACCTCTGACAGAATCTTGACCACTGAAATCCCCCAACCTTCCAATCAACCAAGATCACATAATATCCTCAGGCATGGCTAATATGTTCATGTAATCATGACTCAAATTCTGGGCTTCCCCCCACTCCAGTATTACACAGTAACACCCCACTTTCTGCGTCACCGTGGCTGGACCACTACATATATCTTTAAAAGTTCATAAACTCATGTATAGAAAACATCTTTAAAATTTACATAGCTATTTCTCTATTAATTTTTATTAAAACAACATAAAACTGATTAAATGTTTGGTATTTTACTGCCCTTGTTCCCATATACATTCTATCTATGTAGTGGGATGCCATAGATGTCGAGTGGTGGCAATGATTTTTTTCTTCATTTGAATTAGGAAAGTTTTGTTTTGAAACAATTCTATTGATAAATCACATAAAGTGTTCTACATGAAGAAAGGGGCAAAAAGTATGCTTATAAACTATTACAATCCCATGAACTAACTAATCAAGGCTCTTCTGCTGAGAGTTAATGTCCTTGAAGATGAGTTTTGTATGTGGATATGAAGAATAAGACCTGGGCTGGCAGGCAGCATGGTGGATAAAGTGCTGGACTCTCATGTGACTGACAGAGGTTCAAGTCCCATACCTGGTAGCTTGCTTTCTCACTTTATCTCTCATCAAATTTAAAAAATAAAAATAATGATAAATAAAATAAAATTAAATTTTTTTAAAGAAAGAGTAAGATTTGTTTGCATGAGTATAATAATTCCAGTTGATCACAGAAGGACACTAAAATCTCTTATTTGTACATCTCAAGTGTTTTGCCTTAAGAAGTAATTGAAAAACTAAAAATTTCTCCTTTTATCTGTGTGGGAATAAGACAAAGACAAAAAGAAAAAAAACCTGCTTCCTTCCCCTGGGAGAGACAGGTTTCTGAATGAGAATGTTATATAACCTTACACGATGATGAAGAAGTCAAGTCTGTGAAACACTACAAGGATTTGTTCTCCTTTTTGCTGCCTTTTTCTGGAAATGTTGAAAAAAAAGTCACACATGGTCACCAATTTTTACATTTACTTGTTTTGCCAGTTCATCCCTAACCTGTCTTTAAAATGTCCTTCTCACTCTTCCATTTGTATTTGATATACACCTGTTTATAGAATTGATATTTACAAACTCTTTCTTTTCCATGAACTCATTGGCCCATCACACTACTGAGAGAAAGTATTTTACAGAAAAAAAATTGGCCCTTAAAAATGAACAAATGTGGGAACCAGCAGTTAGCGTAATGGCTATGTCGCTGGATTCCCACGTAATCGACCGCGGTTCGTGTCCCGGACCCGGTGGCTTAAAACTCACGCCGGGCGCGTGTGCGTGCGTGCCCAAGATCCCGAGAGGAGAATGGAGGAGAAGGGATTGCGGCGTGACCATCCCCCCTGGGGGGTGATTTCTTGCTTTCTGTCTCTATGTCTCTCTCTGTCTGTCTGGCGAGCGCACGCGCCCTACAGTGAAAATCTCTCAAAAAAAAAAAAATAAAAATGAACAAATGTGTCTTGAATCACACTGAATTACAGGATTTTTCCCAGGTTCATATTTTAGGGGACTGTTGTTCTCCTGTGTACAAATTCACCCAATTCTAATATAATTCTCATCCCCTTACCTTTCTCCATTTTAGCTGCTAACGTAGTCATTTTTGACCTCTCCTCTCCCTACTTCACAGATTAGACAGCAGCTCCTCTGAAATGTCTCCTTGTGTCTCACTATGTCATGACTGTCTGTTTACTTGTTTGTACTCTCCCTATGATGTGGCAAATCTTCGAGAAGTTTCCATGTGGGGGTGAGAAAAAAGTTTATCTTGTGGTTTTTGGATGGAAAGTTGTATAGATGTCTGTTAAGTCCATTTGATTTATGGTATCATTTAGATCCTTTATCTCTTTACCTAGTTTTTGTCTAGATGATCTGTCCAGAGGGGATAGTGCAGTGTTGAGGTCTCCAACCGTTAGTGTGTTGCAGTCTATCTCCCCTTTTAGATCTAATAGTCTTTCCTTCACATATTTGGGTGCTCCTATGTTAGGCACATAGGTATTAATAAGCATTATATATATTTTTTGAGAGGTTTTTTGTTACAGGGCGTGTGCACTCGCCAGACAGACAGAGAGAGACATAGAGACAGAAAGCGAGAAATCACCCCCCCAGAGAGAGAGACAGAAAGCAAGAAATCCCCCCCCAGAGGGGATGGTCACACTACAAGCCCTTCTCCTCCATTCTCCTCTCGGGATCTTGGACATGCATGCACACGCGCCCGGTGTGAGTTTTAAGCCACTGGGTCTGGGACGCGAACCGCGGTCGACTACGTGGGAATCCAGTGACATAGCCATTACGCTAACTGCTGGTTCCCAGCATTATATCTTCTTGATCGATTGACCCTTTGACTACTTTCCCACCTACAGTGAACGCTGTTCACTGTTATCTCTCCAGGGCCTGGTACACAGAACTTTATTAAATAACGCATTGAATGTTGAATAAATGAATGAATGAGCAATTTTGCTAAGTGTCAAGTTCAAATCAAATGAGTCTCATCCATCTAGAGTCTCATAATCTGCCAGTCAGGCAGCTGAACAGGAAAGGAAGCTTATCTGCTGGGCTTGTTCTTAATCGGTACATGCAGGCTCCTTGATGTCTCCTGCTGTTGTCAGAGTTCAGCATTCAGGTTTTAACAACCCTTTCTAGAATTTTGCATCTGTGACAATTATAGAAAACCCTGGTGGAGGTTGTGACCCTGTTACACAATGTACTTGAACTATTTACTGGAGTTGAATAAAGGTTAATTTTTATGTTATCTCTCAACTATCAGGCATATAAATTCCAGGTGATTCATATCATATTAAAGTCCAGAGAGTCTCTAATTTTCTAACTATTCCCAACAATGGGTCGCAGTATCTCTTCTTGAAAGAACTGATTAGATTCTTCCTGGATCGATATAAGACTATCCATACAAAGAGACAGAGAGGTTCTCAGGCTTCCAGATCACTATGGAGTTCTTCTGGGGGCAGTGCCCTGCCGTTCATTTCTATTTCCAAGAGTGCAAGCACAGGACTGACATGACCTGACCCTGAACAGTGAACTCATATTCCTTCCCAGGCCTCTCACCCAGGTCTCTCATCTTTCTTATCTGAAGGTCCCAGCATGACAGGGACTAGAGAATTACCAAGGTTCCACCCACTCAGTCAGAGAATCCACTGCTTTATCCCCCAAATACTACTCATAAACCGTGATGTCCTGTTTAATAACCAAAATCTCTGGGGTTAAAAAGAAAGAAAGAAGCTACCTTGGTGATTCATAGTGTTTGCCAGTTTGCATGGTGGGCGTTCTCCCACTATGGCCAATTTTAAGCTACTAAGCTCATGTCGGCATATGTGAAGTTGGGAGAATGTGCACAAGCATGGACAAGCTGGCTTCAGCACACTGTTGCTTGCTCTTCCCCTTTCCTGAATGTGACTCTCCTGTGCCAGCTCAGTTTTATGACATTCATGGCTTGCAGGATCTGCTCCTGCCGACACTTCCAGCCTTGGAGACTCCAGCTTCCAGGAGCTTTTCCTGGCACTCTTTGGCTGCTGTTGAGTCATTGACATATCCCATAATATTCTGTGTAAATCTCTGTTGTTATATCATTGCTATTTTTCTTTTTAATTTGCTAGAGGGTGTGTGTGTTCGCCTGAGAGGGAGAGAGAGAGAGAGAGAGAGAGAGAGAGAGAGAGAGAGAAGGAAAGCACTCCCCATGAAGGATGGTCAATGCTGCAATATCTTCTCCATTTCTTCTTTCTTTTGAGATTTGGGGCATGCATGCTCATGCATGTGCACACACACAGACAGACAGACACACACACACACACACACACCTGGCATGTTTTTCAAGCTGCCAGATCTGGTACTAGAACTGCATAGTTGGCCATGTAAGATCCAGCTGCCTTAATCACTGTGACACTGGCTCAACTATGATATGTTTTTTATGTTAGTCTTTCTTGCCAGTCTATGAACTACTTGAGCATTGAAACTGACACTGACAAGAGATACCATTTTTTTTGAGCTAGTATCTACATTAAGCCCATCACGTGCATCATACCATTTAGTTTTCATAACAGGCAGATGCCTGTATCAGCCTCATTTTATGGGTTAAAATTTAAAAAAGAACCTGGAGCACTGCAAGATGAGATAATTTGCTCAAGATCACAACCTGAGAAGTATCTCAGCCAGGATTTGAGCCCAGGCCTGACTGCAGAACCAAGATTCTAAAGCAGTAATGGTCCTTTGTTTCTGTGTCTCTAGCATTTGGCACGCTGCCTGGCCCATGGCAAATGTCCACTGCATGTTGAGTAATGTAATGAGGGAAGTCTAAGATTGGCACTGTCCTTGACCAGTCTTTCCCAGCTTCAGTCCAATCCCCCAACTGCAGGCCTAGTGGCCTTTCACAATCATAAGCTGAATCATGTCATTTCTCTGCCTAAAAGTTTCAAGTAACTCCTTAACTTTCAAGATAACCTCTTTACCTTGATATGTACGATACTCCATGATTTGGTCTCTGCCATATTCTCTAGATACAATTTTCCCCATTCATAATTATATTTTATTCATCCAAAGCTTTATTTATTCATTCAATAAATTCAGTTCTTGGATCTAGCAGGTGGCGTAATGAACAAGTTACTGAACTCCTACATGGTCAACTGTGGTTTGAATCCCGGACCCAGATGCTTGAAACTCATGCAGGACATGTGTGCGTGCATGCCCAAAATCTCAAGAGGAGAATGGAAGAGAAGGTTGTAATGTAACTGTGTCCCCTGGGGGGTGATTTTTTTCTTTCTCTCTGTTTCTGTCTCTCCAGTGAGCAGATGCACTCTATAGCAAAAATCTCTTTCTAAAATAATTAAATAAGTAAATTCAATTCTTACTGAATAATGACTGTATTGCAGGTTCTATTCTATATATACAATAAGAGACAATTTCTACCCTAGAAGGGCTTGGAGTGTAGTAGAGAGAGAAAGACACAGATACATAATTTCTACAGTGGTCAAAATAAAAGTGTATAATCTAGCAATGGGTCCATGAAGGGCATGGCCATGTTTTTCATTTGTCTTCCAGGTCTGGCCAGATTATTGGCACATTTTCACAGGAGTCTTGCTGCTGACTATTTTAGCTTATTCACATACGCTCTTCTCTTTTCCTTTTTTTTTTAGAGAGAGATTTTTGCTATAGGGCACTTATGCTCACTAGAGACAGAGAGACAAAGTGAGAAACCACTCCTCCCCACCCCGGGGGATAGCCATGCTGCAATCCCTTCTCCTTCATTTTCTTCTAGGGATTTTGGGCATGCAGACACACATGCCTGGTGTGAGTTTCAAGCCTCTGAGTCCAGGACATGAGTTGCCATTGGCCATGGGGAGTCCAGTGACATAACCATTACTCCATCTACTGGTCCCCACATATGCTTTTTCTGTTCCTAGAATGTTTGTCATAATTTTACATAGTGAATCTCTCCTTATCCTTAGAAAGTCCTCTCAGTGTCAACTAGAGGAAGTCTCTGACTCACCCTCACCCCAGTCAGCCTAATTGAAAGGCTCCCAAAATAGTCAAGTATGCATTCATTGTAATATTTGACAATGGCAGTTGCTAGCTGACTTTCTTGTCCCTCTCCCTGAACTGTGAGCTTGGCCCTGATATTATTCCTGGACATAGAGTACATACTAAGCAAATGTGTAACTAAGTGAATGAAACAGTTGATTAATGGTTGTAAATGTATCTGAGAAAATACATCCTTACTCAACTAATTTTTTTTTCTTAAGAGAGATTTTGGTTATAGGGTGGATGTACTCACCAGAGAGACAGAGAGATAAAGTGAGAAATCATCCTCCAGGGGGATGGCCACGCCACAATCCCTTCTCTTCCAGTGCCCTCTCAGGATTTTGGCCACACATGCACACACACCTAGTGTGAGTTTCAAGTCACCGGGTCCAGGACTCAAACTGCAGTTGACCGTGTGGGAGTCCAATACTGTAAACATTTCTCCATCTGCTGGTCTCTCATCTAACTTTGAATTGGTCATGGCCCCAAACACCAACATTAGATTTTAGATCCAGTTCTATTTTCAATGGATTTCAAGATAAAGCAACCTTAGCAAGTGAGAGGAATATCACCACTTGGCAGTGTCAGCATTAGGAAGATCCTATCTATTGTTTTTTTAGAATTCATTTTTGTTTCTTTTTTTGAAGAGGCTTTTTTTTTCTTTTCTGCTATAGCACACATGCACTTGCCAGAAAGACAGAGAGAGACAGACAGACAGACAGAAAGTGAGAAATCACCCCCCAGGGGGGATGGCCATGCCGCAATCCCTTCTCCCCCATTCTCCTCTCGGGATGTTGGGCATGCACGCACACGCACCCGGCGTGAGTTTAAGCCACCGAGTCCGGGACTTGAACTGTGGTTGACTACATGGGAGTCCAGTGACATAGCCATTACGCTAACTGCTGGTCTCTAGAATTCTTAAAGCAAATTGAGTTGTTGCAACAAACACAATTTCTCATCTTGCCCATTGTCTGAACTTCTGGGCATCACTGTATGTCACAAAAGGTGCAAGAGTAGACAGCAAAAGGAACAGAAGTGCATGGGACTGAGAAAAATGACACTGGGAGGGAGCCTGTCAGCTGGGAACAAGAAAGAGCCTTTGCACAGGCATGCTGGTGAGATGCACAGAAGGGGTAAGAAGGCAGGAGTAATGAAAGGAAGGCCTTTGCTATGCCCAATCTGCTTACTTCCTTGAAGAAGCACTCTTTCTTCAAAGGCATATGTATGGTTATTAGTAGGACCTGTGGATGCAATTTGGAGTCATCTGTATTCTCCCTAATAGATTAATCTTCATAACCAAGTCCTCTTTTCTTGTAAGCCTAAGGTCCAGAGTAGCAGAACATGTGACCTTCCTACAGTTGTCACTGTACCTGGAATGGAAGGCAGAGAACTAAGGTGGAAAAGGGCCTCGCTTTACAAGATTCAGAGGGACAGCTTCTCTGGCACTCTCAGGGTGCTTGGGCAGCTTCTCCCTTTATGGACAGAATTGTGGCAGCCCTTCCCAGCCATGAAAGATAAATGTAGGACAGTGTAGAACCAAGGTTTGAAACTGAGCCTCCCTGACAGGGGATGGGATGCCCAAGAACGCACTCTTTGTAGGCTTCTGAGTTATAAATAAGTATTTAAGACATTTAGAGCAAAGAGATTATTTTTAAAAGCATGAGATTTATTTTAAGAGTCATTTGAGAGTTGCTGTGTATGTGTAAAACCTCCTGAAAACAATTTTATCTGACACTATGGATTTATCTTGTTGAGTAATTTCCTTTGGGTTTGGAAAGCACAGATGTGATTTTGGAGTCCTAGAGAAATCTAGCTACGGTGGGGATCGTCTCTCCTTGCTCATGAACATGTTTGGACAAGCTGTGCCAGGCAGGTCCTGGGAGCTGTGGCCCATCTGTTTCTACGTGTGATTAGGTGGCAGTGGTTGGATGAGGTAAAGCAATGATAGGTCAGGTCTTAGAACCTATGGGCCAGTTCCTATTTCTACCTGGGGAATTGTGTGTATTGGTTGGGAGGAGGTGGTTCTGTATAAAGCAGATGGGACACCAGCAGGGGCTTCAGTGGGAGACTAAACAGATTTCTGCCTCCATCTGCTTCTCTTAGCAATTGGCTTGCCCAAAGCCCAGTGAAGCAGTAGAAGCAAGTCAGCTCTCTCTGCAGTTGGCAAGCCCTGCAGGGGGAGGCAGAGGAGCACAGGATGGGGGACTGTGAGGAAGGGGCTGGTTTGGGGAACATGCTCAGGAATCCAGGCAGGCCCAGGCTGGGTTCCCTGTGTGCCACTTACCAGCTGTGTGATTCTGGGCAAGCTAGTAGCCTGTTTAAACACATGTCCATGTCTGTTAGCTGGGGATTATCCTGACGTCCATCTCCTGGGGCTGTTATGAAGATTAAATGAGATAATGTGGGTAAAACGCTTTTTATTTTACTTGACCAGAATAAGAAATCCAAACTGACTGTCCCTGGACAACCACATTAATGTTCCAATTGATCTTCCTCCTTCTGTTCTCGTCCCCTTATTTAATTCTTTCCTACAAAGCAACCAGAATGACCTTTTAAAAATGTGGAGCATATCATGTCACTTTTCAAAGGTTTTCCATTGCTCTGACCTTCCTTCCTACTCCTATGTGCCTGTGCTCTGGCCACAATGACATAATTTCTCAAACATGCTAAGCGAGGTCCTTGCCATGGGCTCTTGGCCTTGCCATTCCCTCTGCCTGGTGTGCCCTGCCCATGATTCTGGCATGACTGGATTTTTCCTGAGGCAGCCAAATCAAGAGGAGCTCCTTCCACCACAGTCTATCATCCCACTCGGTTTGGCTGATGTCCTGAAGGACTAGAAAGATTTTTGCAATATTGAAATTTTCAGCTTAACGACAATTTAGACCTCTCTAGTTATTCAAGTCTCTAAAGCCCTTCATAGAGTTTTTTTTGTTTTAAAAAAAAAAAAAATCAGGGCAGCCCTGTGATCTAGTGGTTAAGAGGGCTAGATCCAAAATTGCAATCTGCAGTTCAAATCCTGATCCTGGCATCTTGAAAAACATATCAGACATGTGTGCATAAATCCTGAAAAATCCCAACGGGGGTGAGGGGGAATGCCGGAGAAGGGATTGCAGCACAATCACACCCCACTGGGGACTGCTTTCTCTCTTTGGAGAATGAATGAACCCTCTGACAATAAAAAACAAACAAACAAACAGAAAAGACAATAAAAAACCCATAAGATAAAATTTTTAAAATAGCAATTATTAACAGGGGCACCTAACCTCATCTTAGATAGTCAGGAGCACTTGCTGGAAAAGGGTGACATCTGAAGCAATTTCTGAGGGAAATATTTGAAAGGCCCCACTGTCACTAAATGCATTGTGCCATTTAGTTGCTTTGAAATTCTGGAGGATGTAAGCTTGTTGATGTTTTTAACCATTGCTGAAATCTTCATAGTTCTCACCATTCTCAATTTGCCTTTTGCAGCACAGGGGGCCAACGGCACTCTGGAGAACCCAGCCCTAGATACAAGCCTACTGGAAGAGTTCCTGGGCAATGACTTCGATTTGGGGGCCTTGTAAGTAATGACAGCACTGTTCTCCATTCAATGTCTTAAAAATTATGAACTGAATGACCTAGAAAGTGTTTCCTTCTCATCTGCTTTTCTAAAGAGCTTGGGTAGAGTTCATATTATTTTTTAAAAATAATTATTTAATTTTATTTATTCATTCATTTATCTTAATTTGACCAGACACACACACACATACAAAGAAAGAGAGAGAGAGAGGAGAAAAAGGAAGCCTCCAGGTCTGGGACTCAAACTGTGGTTGACCATATGGGAGTATTTAACGCTTTAACCACCATACCACCTGCTGGTCCCAGAGTTCATATTAGTTATCCTATAAATCTTTGACAGATGTTGCCAGTGAAGCCATCCAGGCCTCACATTTTCCTCCCTAATTCAGTCTCTGTAATAGGTATGGGGCTATTCAGATTATGTATTGGTAGTTATCAGCTTAAGCAGTTTATGTCTTCCAATTCATTTGTCCATTACATCTAAGTTGTCCAATTCATTGGCATAGTTTTTCATACTTTCTTGTAAGGATCTATAGTAATCATCCTTTTGTTATTGATATCAGTAATTTGTGTCTTTGTGTGTGTGTGTGTGTGTGTGTGTGTGTGTGTATTTTAACTTTTCTTGGTCAATCTGCCAAGATGTTTATCAATTTTCTTAACTTTTAAGAGAACCAGCTTTTGGCTAAACTTATATTCTTGTTTCCTATTTTCTATTTCATTGATTTCTGCTCTTATTATCTGATATTAACAGGGCCACCTCAGCTTTTAAATGTTAACTGACATGCCTTAAAATTCATTTCTATTGCATTTTGGTGTACAATTCTGTGAGCTCTGACAAATTCATAGTCATATAACCACTACCCTGATCAGGTTACACAACGGTTAACCTCAACTGAAAATTTTTAGTTTTTCTCCTTTGCCACCCACCCTTAACCCTTAGTAACCACTACTCTGCTTTTTCTACAATGTCACATGATTTAAACCTTACAGTATATAACCTTTGAGTTTGCCTCTTTCACTTAGCATAATGTCTTTGAAAAATAGTTCATTCCTTTTTTATTGCTAAGAAAGATTCTTTTGAATGGTTATAACATGGTTCATATCCATTCACCTGTTCAAGGTCGTTTAGATTATGTCCATCTTTTAAAAGTTATGAATAATGCTTCTATACGTATTCATGCACAGGTTTTTGTGTGGTTAAGTGTTTAAATTTCTCTGGAGTAAATACTTAAGGACTGCCCAGCCATGCTGTAAGTATAAGCTTATCTGTAAAAGCTGTCAGATTTTCTAGAGTGACTATACCATTGTGTATTTCCACTCATGATTATAAGATATTCAGTGGCTTCTCTTCATCACTAGTTCTTGGTATTATGAGTTTTGAAAGATTTTATTGTTATCATACTAGTCAGTTTGTAGTGGTATCTCATTATGCTTTAATTTGCATAGACCTAGCGATGTTGAACATCATCTCACATGTTTGCTGGTCATTCATGCCTTTTTGGTAAAGTGTTCAAATATTAAGTACTCAGGGCTGTTTTATGTTTGAGTTTAGAAAGTTTTTAAAAAATACTCTGAATATAAAAGAACAAGTAATGACAGCACTGTTCTCCATTCAATGTCTTAAAAATTATGAACTGAATGACCTAGAAAGTGTTTCCTTCTCATCTGCTTTTCTAAAGAGCTTGGGTAGAGTTCATATTATTTTTTAAAAATAATTATTTAATTTTATTTATTCATTCATTTATCTTAATTTGACCAGACACACACACACATACAAAGAAAGAGAGAGAGAGAGGAGAAAAAGGAAGCCTCCAGGTCTGGGACTCAAACTGTGGTTGACCATATGGGAGTATTTAACGCTTTAACCACCATACCACCTGCTGGTCCCAGAGTTCATATTAGTTATCCTATAAATCTTTGACAGATGTTGCCAGTGAAGCCATCCAGGCCTCACATTTTCCTCCCTAATTCAGTCTCTGTAATAGGTATGGGGCTATTCAGATTATGTATTGGTAGTTATCAGCTTAAGCAGTTTATGTCTTCCAATTCATTTGTCCATTACATCTAAGTTGTCCAATTCATTGGCATAGTTTTTCATACTTTCTTGTAAGGATCTATAGTAATCATCCTTTTGTTATTGATATCAGTAATTTGTGTCTTTGTGTGTGTGTGTGTGTGTGTGTGTGTGTGTGTATTTTAACTTTTCTTGGTCAATCTGCCAAGATGTTTATCAATTTTCTTAACTTTTAAGAGAACCAGCTTTTGGCTAAACTTATATTCTTGTTTCCTATTTTCTATTTCATTGATTTCTGCTCTTATTATCTGATATTAACAGGGCCACCTCAGCTTTTAAATGTTAACTGACATGCCTTAAAATTCATTTCTATTGCATTTTGGTGTACAATTCTGTGAGCTCTGACAAATTCATAGTCATATAACCACTACCCTGATCAGGTTACACAACGGTTAACCTCAACTGAAAATTTTTAGTTTTTCTCCTTTGCCACCCACCCTTAACCCTTAGTAACCACTACTCTGCTTTTTCTACAATGTCACATGATTTAAACCTTACAGTATATAACCTTTGAGTTTGCCTCTTTCACTTAGCATAATGTCTTTGAAAAATAGTTCATTCCTTTTTTATTGCTAAGAAAGATTCTTTTGAATGGTTATAACATGGTTCATATCCATTCACCTGTTCAAGGTCGTTTAGATTATGTCCATCTTTTAAAAGTTATGAATAATGCTTCTATACGTATTCATGCACAGGTTTTTGTGTGGTTAAGTGTTTAAATTTCTCTGGAGTAAATACTTAAGGACTGCCCAGCCATGCTGTAAGTATAAGCTTATCTGTAAAAGCTGTCAGATTTTCTAGAGTGACTATACCATTGTGTATTTCCACTCATGATTATAAGATATTCAGTGGCTTCTCTTCATCACTAGTTCTTGGTATTATGAGTTTTGAAAGATTTTATTGTTATCATACTAGTCAGTTTGTAGTGGTATCTCATTATGCTTTAATTTGCATAGACCTAGCGATGTTGAACATCATCTCACATGTTTGCTGGTCATTCATGCCTTTTTGGTAAAGTGTTCAAATATTAAGTACTCAGGGCTGTTTTATGTTTGAGTTTAGAAAGTTTTTAAAAAATACTCTGAATATAAAAGAACTCTGATAGATATGTGACTTGTGACTATTTCAGTTTGTGATTATTTTTTGTTCTCTTAACAGTGTCTTTCTGACAGCAGAATTTTTAATTTTGATGATATCCAACTTATTGAATTTTTATTATATGGCTTGTGCTTTATACCTAAGAAATGTATGTTGTTCCTAATTTAAGTCCCCAAAGGTTTTCTTCTAAAAATCTCACAGTTCACATTTCATGTTTAGGTCTGTGGTCCAGTTTGAATTGGCTTTTGTGTAAGGTTCGAAATGTAGGTCAAGATTAATTTCTTTATAAATGTATATCTAATTATTTTGGAATCATTTGTTGAATAGATTTTCTTTTTTGAACTGTTATAAAAAATCAACTGACCATGTGAATGTGGATCCAATTCTACTCCCTATTCTATTCCACTGCTAGAATAGAAATAGATTGACATACATATTCTATATGCCTATCATTTCGCAAATACCACAGTGGTTTCTTTTAAGTTTATTTATTTCTTCCATAACAGAAAGAATGAGAGAGGCAGAGAGGAGAGCTATGTACCCCAAGAGGGCCTTCCTGCTGTAATCCACTCCTAGTCAACTCAGATCACAGGCACATGTGTGCTCACCTAGTATGCACAGGGATGCCTCAGGAGACAAGCCCAAGACTTCCATGTGACACCACACAATCTTGATTAATTTACACTGTCTCGATTACTATATTAGGTACTTTATCATAAGTCTTAAGATAATATGGCATAAGCCCTCCAAATTTGTCTTCTTTTTAAAAATTGTTTTGTCTGTTCTGCCTCCTTTTATTCCCCAATAAATATTAAAATCAACTGTCAATATCTACACAGTCCTGCTGGAGTTTTGATTAGGACTGTATTAAGTTTAAAGATCTATTTGAGAAGAATTGATATCCTAACAAAAGAGACCTCTAGTCCTTGAACATAGTATATTTCTCCATTTATTGAAGATTTCTTTGATTTCTTTCATGAGTGTGTCATAATTTTAACATACAAATCTTGTGCTTATTTTGCTAGATTTGTAGGATAAAATATACCTAAAGATATCACATTCTTTTTACTTACTATCTGTAATATTCTTTTTTAATTTTTATTTTTCAAATAGTCATTGCAAATATATAGAAATAATTGATTTTTTAAAAAACGGACTTGGGTGCTGAAATCTTAAGTTATTTATTAGTTCTAAGACTTTTTCTTTTGTGGATTTTGTAAGACTTTCTGTGTATACAATCATGTAATCTGTAAATTGAGACAGTTGTATGCCTTTCTTTCCAAACTGTAAACCCTTTAACACTTTTTCTTGCCCTTTGAACTGGGTAGGACTTTGGGTATAATATTAAATAAAGAAATAGTAAGCATAGACATACTTTTGCCATTCCTGATCTTAAAGGAAAAAGAATTCAATTTTTTAAAATTATGAAGTATGTTAGCTGTGTTTTCTCTGTCTTCTATTAGTTTGAAGTTCTCTTTTATACCTAGTTTTAGTGTAAGGCATTTTGTGAATCAATAAAATGTGGAAAAAATGTAAAAATAATAAATAAATAAATAAAACAAAACAAACAAAAAAACCCCTCAGGTGTGTGCAGATAAATGGGGCTGCAGTAAAAATCTGAGCAAGAACAAACAGAACTGGTCTAGTCCATGACTGCAGGAACGCTGGGCTGGTTCAATGATCATAGTATCTGTACAACCTGTTCCAACACACCACATTCTGACTATTCCTAAATACCTGGCGCTTTGTACAGGTCTGCTGCATTTCTTTTTTCTTCTCTTTCTTTCTTTTTCTTTCTCTCTCTTTCTTTCTTCCTCTCTTTCTTTCTT